AAACTGTCAACAGGGTGGAAAATGTATCTTGAAAAGATAAAAACATTTATTTTAAAAATGTGCAAAGAAAATTAAATTCTATGAGAATTCAGGCAACCAGTTGTAACTTTTTTTTTTAGAAAAAAACACATGCACAACATGCGAGGATAAAATATTTGTTTCTGTACAGATTGGTGTATCAGACTGAACGAAAAATCTCTCTGCTTCTTGTTTTCCGTTTGTTTCTTCAGCTCAAGTTCCAGACAATGATGAGCAGTTTGTTCCAGACTTCCAGACAGAAAACTGTAAGTAAAAGACCTCAATGCTTTGTCTTTTTGTGACTTTTTAACGTCTGTTAAAATCTGTCTCTACTTGGCGTTGTCTCTCTTCACTTTTGCTTTTAAATACAATCAATCTATGGAGATCTGCTGCAGCCTTGCAGGTCTACAGACAGGTGTATGGAAACCAGTTTATCATGATTTGTTTACCTCGCTTTCTTAGTCCTTGTGAGCCTCTCTTTGCTGCTGTTATTTATTTGCATAAGGAAAACATCAAAATACCAAAGCAGACTTCTTTAGCTGATATTTTTATCTCCAACTGGTCTGAACGTCTTTTAAGTGATGATTTCTGTTTTTTAAATCTCCCACTGTAACCTTTCCTCAAAGGGCTTCTGCATAAACCATCCAGTGTGGTTACATTTTCTAAATCAGGCAGTGTAAAATTAGTTTCTACATTTATCTTTTTTAGTGGAGGGTCGGTTTGTGTTGCACACCCACTCGCTCTCTTCAACAGAATAAAGACAGCCGTTACCTTTTTTTTTTTTTCCTGTTTACATAATTTATCCAACAGAATATTACATTTATGTTTCTAATAATAGGGCAGAAATGTTGTTAATGTCTGAGCAGAGCTTGGTTCTCATATGCAGTCTTAAGGAGAATAGAGGATGTTATATATGTTACCTGGTTGTGAACATCGGTTGCACATGGTGGCTGGTGACTTGGCACGGTCTGTCTCTGGAGGAAGTAAAGCCAAGGTGGGGACAGAAATTGAGTGAGTGGAGCTCAGTGGGACTCGGATTGAGCACATGTCTTTCAGATGAGCCAAAATACACATGAAACTGTGAGGAAAAAACACAAAAGTGTGTGTCCACGCCATGGTTTTCATCACCCTTTAACCTCAAGTGCAACAGCTGAACAAAAGCTAGAATGCTCTCAGATGAACATGCAGCAGACAGAAGACATGTAGCGTCTGGTCAAAGGTTTAGATCATGGTTAAGTAGGACCATAATGGAAATAAACAGTAAGAAAGATTTGGAAAATATTTTTGTTAAGTTCTTTATTTAAGATTGAAAAAAATTGCCACTTTAAACTTTGTTTTGTATAATGATTTGCATAAAAATGTAAAGAAATCGCGAAAAACAGATTAAATTGCTATATGGTATATGCTATACTAGTCAGGTCAGCATTTGTGAATTAAGCAGCTTTACTTAAAAAATAAATAAATCTAAATAGTGTGTCTAAATAAGCCAGTGATGAATTCCACTGTGAAGAAGCTGTGATTTTTAGAAAAGCCCAGAACCAGAGGTCACTAAGACTGTCCCGTTGTCCTTCAGAGGTAGCCGGGGTGGGTGGTCATCATGGCAGGAGGCTGCTGACCATCTGAATTGTCCTGTTGGCAAACCTGCAGCAGACTGGAGAGGCACTAACAGATGGCTGGAGGGTGAGGGCACTGTGGTTGGGCGCTTGAGTAGGCATCCCAGCCGGCAGCGCTCCCATATGGGTTTCACCGATCTGAGAGACGAAGGCACGGTCGCTGAGGTAGAGGTGGTAGTAGGAGAGGAGCTAAATACAGGAAACTATAGGAGAAAACATATTTTCATTGACATTATTAGATTCCTACCTCATCCAAATATACCAAAATACTTTTTTGCATGGTTGTTTTTTTTTTCTTTCCCCATCTTCTTTTTGATTTAATTAGCATATTTTATATTTTCTATAATCCAACATTAACAGTAACAAGGTTGTGTTCAAAAACACATTGCTTTTTTAATACTTATTAAGAACGTTAAATAAAAAAAGCGGTTAAAAGGTAAGAAATAAATAGCAGTCTGTATACGTCACTTTATTATCTCTAAACAAGGTTGCAGCGTTTCTAAAGCTGTTAGGAGGAAGCAATTCAGTGTGATTGTCCCAAATTACGCTAACTTTGGTCAGTCGGGCCTGAAAAAGGCAATAAAGCATCAACTTTAACCATAAATAGATGTCAAGTGATTGAACTATTAAGGTACAAAATGCTTATTCAAAAATAAAACAGAAATAGTTTTAGATTTAAGCAAGATTTAATTATCTCTGTCTCCGAGGTTAAAGATTTTTCCTTTAAATATGTTTTCACAAAAGTTTTAACTATTTATCTTAAACAAAGCTTAAATTTAATGTGTCTTGAATTAAAAAGTCATCAGCAGAATTGTAATATTTGGTGTGTTGGTAAATGAACCGATTATTTGGTTTAGCATATATGGTTTCTTAGCTCTTCACAAAGCATAATCAAACTGTGAATAGATTTAATAGTTTAAATGGAATATTTTAAATCCTTGAATCTAAGTTATATGGACATTGGTACTCCAAAAATAGTTTGCTGAGGATCACCTTCCCTAGTTTGAAACATAAAGAAAATACTGCTACTTTCTAAGGGGGAAAAAGGGTTATAATAAAAAATCTGCCAGCTGTTTTTTGTTATTTTGAAAGCGAAGGCATTTTTGAATGTTTTCTATTTTGGTTTTGCCTTCTTCATACATTCAAAATTATTAGCTAACGCTATTTATCTTTGCTAGTGTGTTTTTAAAGTTTTTAGTTAACCTGCTACATGGCTTAAAGCACATTAGCGATCCTAAGGGAAAGAAAAGGTTATCTTGGATGAGGGGTCACCAAAAAGATAAATTTTTCATATTTTTTACATTTTAGTAGCCTCACCTTTCTTTTGGAGGAATACTATGAATCCAATTGTAGGAGAACATTAAATAGGATATCAAAACAACTAGGCTGAGGATATTCATCATAAAACAGAAATCTTTGGAAAAAAAAACTAAGTTAAAAAAATGTTTTTACATTTTAGCATACATAACAATTCTGTTTTTTTATGTCTAATGAGGCAAAGGTTAAAAGTGTTTTTTATGTATAGAAACAGATATGACTTAACCGCTTCTCATGAAATCATCAAAAAATGAACTAAAAAGTTAACAATTCAGCTTTGTTTTCGACATACGTATTAAGTCGTGTTAAAGGTATAGTGGAGGAGGTTCTATTTCTGGCTAATTCATAAAAATAAGTGGTCCTCCTAATTGTCAATCGTTCTGGTGATATGTTTACATAAGGCCGTCTTACGTGCTCGTCCCTATTTTGACTTACCAGTGGTGAGTCTGACATGCTGGAAATATTACAAATTTTCTTTTGGAAAGGAAGCTTGTATGAGCGACGCTAACAGCAATTTTTAAACAGAGCGTGCACGAGGAGAAATGGGCTCGTGCACGCTCTTGCACACGTTTAATAAGCGTTCCCTCTCGGGAGCAGGTACAGGGTTGTGCATGTGCATTTTTTGTGGAGAGGGCGGGTCTTTTAAAAAATTTGCGAAAATTCTCCATTGTACTTTTAGGCTTTCACCTTGTCAAAAGCACTGGTAAAGCAATGAAAATATATAGAGAGGGATAGCACCACTTTGAAAGTTGTGACTTTCAAAGTGGTGCTTACATGCAGAACACAATCCACTTACATCTTTAATTGTTATAGTACAGTTATGAAAAGCGTTAATTGTATTGTCATGAAATATTTATATCACAATGGATACATTTTGCAGTAAAGCAAAACGTATCTGGACGACTTAAAAAAGAAAAAAAATATCTGCATTGACACTGGATACTAAACTTATATAGTGCATGTAAAATTTTGGTTGTGTTGGTGTTTTTTTAACCTCTAATTTCATGTCCTAACCTCCCATGAATAACCGAGACAGCTTTCCTCAATGTCAACTTTCTGCTCTCCACCGATTAAGCAGCATGTGTAGATTAAGTGTCATAAGGCTGAAGGAGAATAAGGAGACATTTCTTTGTCTCAAACTCCAACACAGATGCTTACTATTAGCATAACTTAGCAGGGAATGAAGGAGTAGAGGAGGTGTAAAATGAGGCCACACGTTACCAGCAGATCTAAGCTTCCATCATTTAACAGCAAAGGCGAGCACCTACAGTAGGTGAAAATGGAATGGAAGGGTTTTTGCTGTTGCCAAAAGACCTGTATTTTTTTATGAATGGACTGGAGAAATATCTGCCAAATGTAGGCTCTTGTTCTGCCAAAATTCACAATTTGTTCTTAAGAGTTCACAGCACATTGGGCCAACAGATCTTTGGCTGTGTTTAGAAAAAAAGAAAATGCACAAGTTTTCTCTATATGAACGATAACTGGGATTTTTAATTTGAATATTTTTTTTCCACAATCATTATGTGACTAGCTGTACAGCAAAGACTACTTAATGTTTAAGTCAATGGCACAAAAACATTTGCATTAAAAATAGACCTGATAATTGCTCTAACTACCTCTTCTTAACAGCCCTCCATCTTGATTAATCAATATGGAGATAATGAGAGCAATCAAGCCATGATGGGCATGACATTCTGGACTAAAAAGGAAGTCTCTGTTTTAGTCAGAGGCAATGCCCTAGCTATTGATTTGTGTACCTTGGCACCCAACTGACGAAATCTATTGTGACATTTCCATTTCTAATTTAAGACGCTGCGCTGCTGCACATGTGAAGCCAATGTTAAGACCTGGTGTGACACTTAAAGTCAAACGTTTCCTGAGGGACTTTTACGCATTAAATGAGTAACTCAGGCACTTAATTTTAAATCAGTGTGAAATAAAGAAATGAAAACTATACTTTTGCTTTTGCTGAATTGCAATAAGTTTTTTTTTTCTAACTTAAAAAAAGACATTGCATTTATTGTAGTTAGTAATAGATAAGATCAACTCGCTCAAGTAGTTGCCCCTTGTCACATGATTCACTTCTTATTTTGGGTAAAGCACAAGTGATAAATTAGATAGGAGCCACTCACTGAAAGGGTGTTTGATACAATATGAACACACATTGTTTTTGCTCAAAAATATCATGTCAGACAACATAAATAATGATACGTCACTACTGTCAGATGAGTGACGCTGAATAGTAAAGCTGTGAAGGATTGAAACCAAATCTTCTTCTTTCTCTGCTAAAATGGACAAAAAGCATTAAAAAATAAACCAAGATTTTATAGCAGAAGATCAATAAAACCTTAGAGTATCCGCAAAATCCATCTCGATTATAACTCTTTGAGTGTTTACTATTGTAGGTGGTTTACTAGGCTTTTAGCATGGATATACTTGATGTCACATCTGCAGAAAAAAAGCGGGAATTAAGTCAGCATTAGGAAAAATTATGTTTTCATCGTAGAGTCAGATAAAAAAGCTAATTTACAAATATTTACATAATTTTTCTTTAAATGATCAAGATTTACATATTAGGTCAGTTTTTTGTTCAATCATCAAATATGTTATTTTTTTCTTTTTCTTTTTATAAGAATTATGTTTGTTATTTTGCTATGTAATTTATTCATAAATTTTTTTATATATATTGTTGTTTTTATTAATTAAACCACAAGTTTAAAGAGTTTTGAATCTGTAACAGTGACAAACATTCTTAATTGTGTCGATTTTTTTCAAGCCTTTACAGCTATGTGGAGCTATTTTGTTTATCCTCTTTATCAGAGCAATGCTCAACTGGCATCTTATGTTTCCTAATTTAAAGTTTAAAGTTTGGCTTTTATCTGTCCTTTTCATGATGTTTGGACTCCTTAAACCTTAAGGTGGAGGCGTTTGTGGGAGAACGAAGTGGCGTGTTGAAAATGAAAGGTTAGTTAGTGTTGGATAAAAGCTAAAGTGTCTAAAAATCTCTTTGATCAGATTCCAGAAAATGTTTTCTGAACATTACTGTTTAGCACTCCCCTCCCCCACCTGTTGCTACACACTGTTTATCAGCTGCATCCTGTGTTTAAGACAGTCAAATTTAGCAGTTAAGAAATATATTAGGGCACAAAAATATGATCAGTAATTGTGTGGAAGCCAAAGGTGTTCCACTAAGTGAATTATGTCTTTGTTGCATTTTTTCTAGGCTAATATTGTGAAATTATAATGTTTGTTAGTAATGTTATCATAGTCTGGGAATCTCAAACAGATCTAATCGTGGTTGCTAATCAACGTAGCAATGACTTTAGTCTTGACATGGGGGCTAAGATGTTGTTTGGACTCCAGAGGGTCTAAACAAGCCTCTGCTTTGCCTGTAGCGTCAAAGGTCTCCCCTCAGGAAGTGTCTTTTTGACCTCCAATCGATGACCTGGAAAGGTCAGGCCCCCAGCGAGGGCTGCGAACAACCCCTGAGGCCTGCCATGCGATGCCCGTGTGCCCTGGCCCCCAGGGGCTTGGCTCTGCGTCACATGAAGTGTTGGCTGATAGCAGATGTCAGTCAGTTGTAAGCAAACCTGAAACAGCTGCCAGATTCCAGTCTCTTATATGGGGCAAACATTTTAGTTCTGCAGCTTCACCGACTGTTGACAAACTGTCTCTGTCTCTTTGTATTTATGGCTTCTGATGAATTTCCTTTTAACTCAGGGATTCGCCATCTCAGTCTGAAACATCAGTGAAAAATGACCTCTAAACTGGGCCAGGCGGCTCTGATAGAGCACTGTGGGAAGGCTGTGCTGCTGCTTTGTGTTCAGCCGCGGTGAGACGGCGATCGGCCGGGCAACCTGAGCCTGACTTCATTCTGACTGACTGGCTTTTCTTCAGAGACGCAGTCAATTAGATTAGCGTTGATCATGACTCGAGATGATGGGATGTTAATCAGGACTGATAAGGCACTTAACAGCCTCTCAGATGCACCGAGCTCACGGCGAGGGCCATAGGTAGCAGGCTCATCCCCACCCCACCCAGCCCTTTGGATCAATGATCCCGTTGTTGTCGTCTGGAACGTATTGACAGCCTCCTGAAAGCAGATAAAGTATTTATAGGAGCTTGCTGCACACCCAGTTTTATGATTGTCATATTTCACTTACAGAGCCCCCACCAGGAAAAAGCCCAACAAATGAGATTTTAAGTGAGTTGTTTGTGTAAGCGATGGCCTGAGATGTCAAATGGAAGACAGATAGAATCGGTATTGGTGCACATTCAGGCTGATGTCTACATTTCTTGAACTGTTTATCTACACCTAAGCAGCAGTCAATTTATTGTTTTATTTAATTCCGGGTTTTGTTTTTTGTAGGGAGCCTTTACTTTGCAAACACCTATGAGCGTTTATTTTTATCTGAATTGAGAATTTATTATGAGAATTGATTTAAAGAATTTGTTGAAAAATATTTGAAATGATCGTTAGACTCCAAGGTAATCCAGGGATCTTCTTCTCTTTGTCTTGATGACACAGTGGCTTTCCACGGACTGCAGCTGAAGATCAAGAGGGAGCTGCATAGCCCATGCTCAGAGCTGAGCTCCAACTGCAGTCAGGAGCGGCCCTTCAAGCTCCAGTATGGAGAGAAGTGCCCGTACAGCATCAGGTGGCTGGTCTTTTTTCCACACTTAAATGATTCTTTGGAAAAACTTATTTCTTTGCAGTATTCTTACATCAAGATCCCAGTACCTAAAGACAAAGAAACAACAAAAAATAAAAAAAAAATGTTATAATTTCTATATATCAAGTTAGGCAACAATGAGGCATTGCCAGGTAACATATATACAAAACATACAAAATTATTTAAAAGTTACAGTAGCTTCAGCTTTGCAAAACATTTATTTCTTACTAATCCATACGTTTAGTCTAATAATGACACTGAAAAAAATACAGATGACAGGAATTTTTATTGATTGAATGAGAAACAGGATGTTCTCTTTAAGTAGCTACACACTGCTGGTCAGGTGGCTGAAAGAAACCTACTCCTCCCTCACTTATTAGAATTAATTCGTCTTTAAGTATTTTAATGCGCAAAAATGCGATAGTCCCAACTTTTAAACTAAATAAATTACCATGTTTATCTTTAAATGAATGCTACTTAAAAATGTCAGCTAGCAGGTGAAACCAGCCTGCCTGTTAATCAGAAAACCTGAGCCAGTTAAAGCTAATGTCAGCCTATAAAGTATAATTTACCCTACAGAGTATATAGGTATAGTGGTATATATAATAGAAAATTATATTGTACACAATAAAAACATATTTAAAAAGTAAAAAATAAAAGAAATTTTGATATACCGCTTTTGAATTTTGTATCACATTGTTTTTATTTAATCATTCATTGTTTTTTTTATGTTGTTTTTTTATCTTAGCTCTGGCTTTAATTTCCCTTGATGTTTTGTGTTTTTTAAAGACACTTTTTCTGTACATTTAAATATTAGTGCTTAAAACTGTAATGTGAAAATGTGGATATTTTATTCATAAATAAATAAATATAATAAAAAAAATTTTTTTGGAGTTCTTAAATCTGTTATCTAACGACTGGATCATTTGTCGCTGTAGTGCCTATGAGCAGAAGCACCACACAGGAATGAAGCCCTCCAGCCCAGTGACGCCCCCCTGCAGCACCCCTGTGTCCCCTCTTCACCATGGTTCACCCACATTGGCCCCCACGCCCAAACCGGACCGGACTTACGCCCACATGCCGCCCTCACAGCCTCTCCCTGACAGCGCCTACTCCATGGACCACAGGTACTGCACCAACATCCCATTTACATGTGTGACACACTGCTCCATTCAAAATGAATGATATACCAGATTCACGCAAGTTTAAACACTTGTGTGAAGCAAGAATGTGGCAGAAAGGAAAACCAACAAAAAGAAAATTTAACTGTTTAAAGATTTCATAGCATGTTTCTTTCTAGAGTCCGAAAACATATATAAGTGAAGTCTTTTTAAACCCTTTAAAAAAATCTTGAATTAGTTTTTGTTCCATTTTTTCACTCTATTAATTATGAAACGGTACCAGAAACAGAATCAGGTTGATAAGAAGTCATATTTTTGATACAGCACACAGCCAATTGTTGGGAAGCGACAACACGCTTCAGTTTTACTACATCTTCACTGGTTATGTAGCGTAGTGCTCCGTGAATTTGGAGAACAGTGCGTCAAATATGAATGCCTACAGCTCATGTTCAGCCTCACAGGCACTCAGCAGAGTCCTGCTGTGCCCCCAAAGATCGAATATAAGTCAGCCTTTAAGCTGATGCTTGTTCTTCAAACTCATTGTAGGAATGTAATGGCCCTCCCGTGTTTTGCCTTTTGTTGCATTATTTTATAACAGGCTAAAGAAGGAGATAATTTCAGTTTCAGAACCATTTAAATCGTCTGTTATAAAATACCTACTGTTTAATCTCTTTTTAATGAGATTCCACATAACTTGCATTAGAGACATTCCCTGGCATTGGTGGTTGTTTGAAGCCTTGGGTAGCCCAGTGCTGACTCCACTAACTGTTGCTCTAGATTGGTAGTCCGGCCCATTGAAATGAGGGTGCTGCTTATTTTTCAGACTTAAAATCAACAAGATGTTTATGGCGCTAAAATCACTCAAAATTGGATTTTTAACACCAACCTTAATAAACGGTAGAAAAGTCTGATAATGTATCTTGTGAATTTTCCCTTCAGATTTAGACGTCAGCTCTCTGAGCCGTGCCACTCATTCCCCTCCCCACCGACGATGGCTCGGGACAGTCGGCCCATCTACCACAGGCAGCTGTCAGAGCCCAGCATCCCCTTCCCTCCACAAGGCTTCAAGCAAGAGTACCCTGACCCCCTGTTCGAGCACCCAGCCATGATGGGGGCACCGCTTCCTCACGGGTACCCGGCCAGCATGATGATCAAGCAGGAGCCGAGGGACTTCACCTACGACTCAGGTGAGAAAATAGAAAAGTTACTGGTGTATAGATTTTACTTTATTTCGCTGGAAGCAGATTCATTTTAGGAATGAGAGGAGACTCGATGGGAGGGGCTGTCGTTTATTGAGTTTACCCATTATTAGGGCAGGGGTTCTGGTCAGGCTGGGTGTCTGTGCCGTTCACCATTTCCTGTTGAGCTCTAATAGAAAAGAGGAGAGGCTGCTGTGTGGGGGGGTTTGGTCACAGTCCAGAAGCTGCCCTCCCACGCATGTTTTCTCCCTTTGGTTAGAGACTAAAGGGACCTAATCAGGAGGCTCCAAGGAGCCCGAGGCTACACCAGAACATGAATGAACATCCGTCGGACTCTGGGGTTCATTCACAAGGTAACGAAGAAAGGACCCAGAGGAGATAGAGCTGTATAGGATCAAGTGTGACCAGTCGGAAGGAAAAAAGAAAAAAGCAACTACCTCCTGGGTGATGAGTTTAAGAAAAAAACTCTGGGGCCCCAATCATGTCTCTTATGCTGCATAATAGTTTGTGTGTGTTAGCCAAACAGCTTCTCTTGTTTAGTTTTTTGTGTGTCTGTTTTTGTGTGTTTTGTTGTTTTTTTTTTTGTCATTGAAAACCAGATAACTGTGAATTTTGGTGTTTTCTCGCTCTTTCGTACGGTAGATGTGCTCACCAGGTTTCACAACTGTGTGGCTTCTAAATGCCAATTAACACCACTGGATTATGCCAGAAGAAACACGTGGGTTTCAGTGCTAAGACATCTTATTTCTCAACAGACAGTCACTTAGTAGCTACTTGGTTGTTATCCCTCCGTTATCAAGTCAGTGATTCTCACAACCAGCCAGTCTGACTCTTTGAATCTTTTCTTTCAAAAAAAATTACAAACAAATAAAAGGAGACTGCAATCCAGCTTCATTTACGAGTAGGAAAACCTACCTATAAAGTTTTTAATTGAAAAAAATCTAAATAAATGTTTTATTATTCAGTCAGGCAATGGTAAACATTAAAAGAAGGATAAGAATAAATAAGTAGAAATTATACAGAGTTAAGGTTAAAAAATGTCATACCAATTGTTCTGCACAAGTAAGATGGAGCATGAGGGTGTATTTATTAGCAGTTACTGTGAAGCATGTTGACAGGAGCAGGCCTGTCGGAGAGGATGGGAGGGGAGTCGTAATTTCATTAGGAGCAATTTCCTCTACAAGCCCATTACTTTGATGAAGCTCAGAGAAATGTTTATGGGCCTAAATGAAGGACTCTACTGTGTTTATTGAATATTCACTTGGTAACCTGTTTGCTTGCGTTTTTTTATCAGAGCGTCAAGTTCTGAGAGGTTTAAGCATAGGAAGAAAATTGATATATTAGTTAGAACACTTTCCAAACTGGACAACTTACCGGATACAGAAAAGTGAAGGAGTTTGAGAAAATTTGTGAGCTTTGTCATCGGCAAATGAGATTCCAAAATGAAATAGTTTTGATTTGAATTTTTATTTTGTCATCGGCAAATGAGATTCCAAAATGAAATAGTTTTGATTTGAATTTTTATTATTTTTTTTGTCATTTTTGTTTTTGGTGGTTCCTCGTTAAATCTGTAGGACCTGTAAGGATATCTGGTATTATATTTAAATACTTTTAATAGATGAAAATGTTGGAAAATTACTGTCAGAAGTCAACACGATCTGCTGACGCTACTGTGTTTCTTTTTACTACCTTTTAAAACCGACTAAACCAAAACAAGCAGCTTTTTGGCGAGATGGAGTGAACGGCATCCCAATGTTTTTGTAACGTTTTTGATTTCCAGGTTCATTCAAAATCTTTTTGTTCTGTTAACATCAAAGTTATCTTAAACATTCTTAGCTTTTAGCTAAAGCATGGGCTTCATAAGATTATCCACCTGCACAAGAAATACGTAGAACATGTTTGTATAAAAACAATATACTTGGCAGCGTTTACTGGCACCAAGTAGTGAACAAGAAAAATGGCTACTGGCTCTTCTAAAAGTCACTAGACAGAATCATTGACTAATTTGCATATTTGGATGTAGATTTTAGGATTATCAATCTTGAAAGACAAAAGCTGATTACAACAACACTTAACACTTAAAATACTAACTAACTTTATGAAATAAACTTGGGTACAATTTATCGATTGGGTAATTTGATAATTTAACATAACTTATTTATATAGAGTGGGTTTAGGTAAAAAAAGATATCTACCTTTTTTAAACTTAATCCAGCTTTGCACATGTGATTCATTAACAATAAGGACTTGGGGGAGGAGCAGGTGTCCTCTCTGATGCTACATTGATACCTGTCAGTCCATGGGAACAGGGAGGATCTCACTGCAGCAGACAAACAGGACAAACAGCTAAATGATTAGTGCTTACACGTTACATCGCCATTGAAAAACAAGGAAAATGGTGGTTGGGTGTGTCGCTAGTGAAAAAGCCACTCTAGGGCTGTAAAAACTTGTAAAATATAGGGACAAAGTTGCTTAGGTGGCAAAAGAGCCCATAAAAAGAAATCAACTTATTCTTGTAGTTCTGATGAAATTGTATTAATATCGTTTATAGCTATGTGTACTTGCACAAAATTCCTTGACTGGATTAAATGTATTCAGATTAAAAGAAATTAAAAACTTTAATCGGGATAAATCTTTACTATGTGCACAAAATGAAATATTTTAATGGTTATTCAACGCTTCCAATCTCAATGATATTATCAAATTTTTTTAGATGGATATGATGGGATTATGGATCTGCATAACCCCCTATTGAGCAACCAAATCACAATATTCCAATTAGGTTTATGATCGATTTTAATCTCATTTGCCCTTTGTTAGCTAGTGATAATATTATAAAGAAAATAGTACAGATTTCAATTTTTTTTAAATCTAATTTAAAAATGGTGAATCCCAGTTGGATTACCTTTAGTTTAGCACTTGTTTTGCCAAAGTAAAATATCTTGCAAAGTATAATAAATGCCAGAAGATGATCTACTTTTTTTGTAAAATAAAGACTCTAGCACCTGAACATCAGATTTCATCAACAATAAGTGTCATGGCATTTTCATGTCCCTGCGTTGTGAAAAGCTTACATCATATCAACATGTGTTTTCATATTCTGTGATTAATCTTACTCTCAGTGGAGAGGCCTGGGGCCAGTCTTAACTGTGTGATACAGTGCGTTCGCCTGTGGCTGCAAGACATTACAATGAAGATCCTGGAGGGCATTTTCTTTAATCAGAGCCGCTGGTGCATTGATTGAACACACTGTGGCTGTTCACAGATAGCTGAGGTAGTGTTCCTAATGCCGCCTTCAGGCCCTTTAACACCCACTCTCATTCTTGCCTGGGTTTCAGCAGAAGTGCCTAGCTGCCATTCTGTCTACTTACGACAAGACGGCTATCTGGCTCACACTAACAGGACTGAAGGTACTAACGAAGACACGTGCGGATGTAGTAATGGTGGTGAATGGTTTTTTTTAATCCATAATATATAAAAGAGGTCCTTTTTTCTCTTTTTTAAGGTTGTATGTTTGACAAAGTGCAGAGGCATTTCTACGATGATACCTGTGTGGTACCTGAAAAGGTAGAAGGTGAGTTATCCCTTAGAGTTTAAAACATTGATAGATTGTGCTTAGGCTGAGGTGATTCAAAATAATTCCCTGATTCTTTTTTTGTGTAGGTGATATCAAGCAGGAGGCAGCCCTGTACCGGGAGGGTCCATCATATCAGCGCCGAGGCTCATTGCAACTCTGGCAGTTCCTGGTGGCTCTTCTTGATGACCCGTCAAACTCCCACTTTATCGCCTGGACCGGCCGTGGCATGGAGTTTAAACTTATCGAGCCTGAAGAGGTAAGGGCCTCCAACATCATACGTATTTATGCCCATAGTTTTACTTAACTTAAAAGTTTAAAAAAATAAAGCAGCAAAGATCTGTTATGAATGGCCCCTCAAAGGAAGCCCACCCTGATTCGGCCAAATCAGACACTTCTCATTTTAATAACAAAAGCTCCATTAACATTAGCAATTATAAATTTGTTTTTGCATTTCTGTGGAAGAGAAAATCCACTGTAACTGTAAATTCTCTGGCCTCTTGCAACTATTGTAAACTTTCGAAATGGCCAAACTTATTGTGTTCTTTTTTTCAAAGCTGATGTTTTCTTATGATTGTTTTGTCTTTTTTATGATATCTTTTTTCAGACGTACAATTTAAGACTATCTTGACATAATCTGCAGAAGGAGACATCAGCATAATTTCCTATCCCTTCAATTAAATTAAATAAGCTTTTTTCCTGGTTTCTGTCACTTAAGATTAAAGAATAAAATTAACACATATTTCCTTAGTGGTAGCTAAATACCTACTGTACTTCTACTACAGCCTTTATACTTGAAAACTAGATCAGTTTGCTCAGATTTGTATATTTCTATTTTTTTCCTTTAAACCTGATAACTGCAAGAAAAAAAAGCATTTATTGGTTTTACATTTGATGTTAAACTGACTGTTTTTCCATGGTCCAGCATTTGCAATTGAACAAATTAATTATTTGATCCCTTTAAAGAACTTCTTGTATAGTGACACTAACACTAACTCTATAGAAACACAGAGACCTTAAAATTGCTCTAACCTTCTAGTGAACAGAAACAAAACAGACACTTTAACTTTACCATAATCTCCCTTTATACTGTAAGTCAAACAAAGACATCTTCTTGGTTCCTCTAAAGATACAAAATCAGCCTCGACAGCCCTACCTCTGCACAGAGCTGTTTGATATTCATTCTGCTGATCAGATTAACTGCTCCTCATGATTAATAAAAATGTTCCTCCGTTTTTGTTCTTTTTTTTTTTTTTATAACTAAGAGAATTAAAACAGAATAACTGCTGCCTAAAGCATTTTTCGGTAATTTCATAAGTTCAAAATAAGAATTAAAAAGGAAAATCAGATGTTAAATTATAAATCAGTTAATTTTAAGAAGATTTTTTTCCCCTAAAATTGAGTCCCCTCAAATACAAAATGAGCCTGGATCTGTTTATACCCAATCCACTGAATGACTTGGCGTGGGGCGGGGGTGGGGGGGTCTATCAGCGGGTGGGAGTGTAGGAAGCAGGAGACAGATGAGCAGGTGGCAGCGGTCCATGGAGCCCGACGGTGTGTGGAAGTGTGGGCCAGCCACAGCTTTCAGGGGGTCCATTCATACCATCAGGTGACATAGCAGACAAATGTTAGCTAACGGCACCTGGCTTTACAGGTGTACGGTACGACACATATGTGGTAATATAGAAAGTACAACCTGGGAGAGGGAGCAGTAAATAGGAATCAGGAGTAGAAGAGTCAGAGAGGGGAAGATGGAGAGAGCTGTTGTAAGTTTGGAGTGTGAGGCTGGGTGGTGGGAGGTCTGCTAGACAGGTGCTGCAACATCTGCTGCCTCCTCAGCTGGCTCTGTTGACAGGCTGCTAATGAACACATCCTGGTCAGGTCTGCTTAGTCTGGACGCAGCCTAATTACTGGTATTAAGGCAATATAGATGCATAAGTTTGTTTAAGATTTCAGCCGCTGGTGCCATCTTTTGCTGGAAGGGAAATCATCTCAGCTGTCAACGACTATGAATGTCTTCACCTTTGCATTTCTGTTTTCTGACTGCTTATCGGAGTTTGTCTTTGCTTTGTTAAGGTGGCACGTCGATGGGGGATACAGAAGAACCGGCCAGCTATGAATTATGACAAACTCAGCAGGTCGCTTCGTTACTACTACGAAAAGGGAATCATGCAGAAGGTAAAAGAGAGTATAAAAATAAAACATTGTAAAAGTAAAGAAGTTTTGCAACCTATTCAGAATGTTTTTATCTTTGCTCAGAGGGGAAGACAGAATATTAAACAGCACGTTTCACATTTATCACCACCCCTACTAATTATGTGTAAATCCACTAAAATGATTATTCTATTACTGCAAGAGTAGAAATTCAAACTGAAAAACTATGATCCAGTAAACATATTTATTAACTGGGGAAATAATAGCTTATTAGCAAATACATTTTTTCTTTTTGTGGACTGAAATATGTTAGTTTTTTCATACCACTTCTCTAAATATTTGGAAACTTGCTGTCATTGAAATCTCTCTTACTAATCAGAGAAAGATAAATCTTTAAACATCCCCATAGATCCCCCATAGTCCTGGTTTCTCTCTCAACCTCCTTTTTCTACAAAGTCCCCCAAGCTGATCTCTAAAGGATTTAGTTTGAGGATCATAGATGAACAGAAAAGACAATAACGTTTATAGCTGCTAAACTATTACTTTTGATTTGGCTTTTGATTTTATCTTTTAGCAGGGACAGCACATGCATATAGTATATGACATCAATGTGACAGGCCCTAGGAAGTAAAATAGGCCCACAGCATGATAGATCTTCGCCATACTTAATATTAATGGTTCATTTTACCTCAAACACACAGGAAGTGGCCACTAGCAAAAAAAAAAAAAAAACATATATACCTCATCTGACCAAGGCTCATAGTTAAACTTAAAGTAAAATGTAGGGTAACTTTTAAAGTAAAAAAAAATTAAATATAAACAATTATGAGTTACTGTATTATTTAATTGCCCTTTGGGATTAATTAAGTATTTTTAAATTGAGCTGAAATAAGGATAGAAAATTCCTGGTCAATAAACCCATTGAAATGATTGTTATGGAGGCTTTATGAGCCCAAAGTTCCGCTATTTAGGTCTGTGTGTCTGTTGGTGTGGTTTGGCTCCATTCCTTAAGGATTTTGGTATAAGCAAGTAAAAGAAAAAAGAAAAGTATTTGTGTTTTTCCTGTTCAAAAATAAACTGGATCCTTTAACAGTGGAAGCTTTGCAACGTTGAGCTAATGAGCTGTAATTTTTTTATTTTTTGATAAAGTCAAAAAACCAAACGTAAAAATTGAAGCCATAGAAGTCATAAAAATGTTTTTTTTTTTTTTTATAAAAGTTGTCTGTCTCTTAACTAATTTCTCACATTTAAACTAGGTCTTATACCCAAAATGCTCAAACCTGACCTCACCTGAGGACTTTAGTATTTACTAATTTATAAGAAGAGGTTGAAGAACTACAAGCATTTATCTCAACATCAAATAAAGACAAAATACTTTTTTTTATTCTCTCAGGTCGCTGGGGAGAGATACGTCTACAAGTTTGTCTGTGACCCCGAGGCCTTGTTCTCCATGGCGTTCCCCGACAACCAGCGACCGGTGTTAAAGACGGACATGGAGCGGCAGATCAACGAGGAGGACACGGTGCCGCTGTCGCACTTTGACGAGAACATGGCGTACGTTCAGGAGGGGCCCTACTGCCAACCTCATCCCTACAGCGAAGGCTACGTTTATTAACAACACACACCTTCGCTCGCTGTGCTGCCCCGCCTCCTCCGTACACCTGAGACTGCCATGTCCTCTGATTCACAGTCGCTCCGGGAAAAAACTGAACTCACCCACATGCAGACACACAAGCACACACGTGGATACACACAAACACACACAGTGACACTTCTCTCAGTATGTCTGACATACACACACTCATTCAACCCCTTTTTTTTCTGCTCTTGAGTTTCTGACGTCCAGAGAGTGCACTTTATGGACAGGAACAGCACCAGAGTCTGTGTGTTTGACTTTTTTTAAATGTTTGTGCATTAATGCTGAAAGCATTCTGCCTATTTTTCTTTATAAACGTCATCATTTTTAGCATGTGCTGCCCTGATTAGACTGGATTCAGCAGCTTAAACTTTGGTTTCCTGCAAAAAGGACTTTTCTTTACAGACAAGTGAAGCAGATACAAGGAATAAATTTAATTTTGTCTTAATGCAAATATCTTCTGGAAATGTAACAGTACTTCCACAATGAAGAGAAGGTTCTTTAAAAGACTGATGTGACGGGGAAAAAGTGTGATTTGAACTGAGTAGATCACTACTTCCTCTCCTCGAGGCTGGCCAATGTTCTCTGCCATGACTTCAACCAAACTGTGGGTCTCGCCATGTTCGTGTTTTTTCTGTAACAGCATAACCTCCACCGGATCATTTCCTTATCAGTGCAAAAAAAAAAAAGACAAAATGTGTGGGTCCCAATTCGTCCCACTGTGAGAATGCACTGGAGAACAAACGGCCTGTGTTTAGGATAATCACCAGAGAAAATAACTCAGTCGCTGTGTAAAAAGAAAAAAAAAAAACGGATTTGTATTCATTTTTCATTCAGGTGTTCAGTTTTTCAGTGAAAAACAGGTGACGTCTATGTACAGTTAAAATTAATTCAGAATACCTATTGCATCCCCAAATAAAAAAAGGAGACTTTCAACAGCAAAAATGATTAAAATCTTCAAAAAAAAAAAGTTTTCTTTCAATTCTTTTCAGTTCTGTTCCAGGTGAACACAGTGTATGTTTTTTTTTTTTTTGAGAAGAAGTCTTTGCCAACATTTCTTTGTTTGCTTTTTGGTAAAACAAAAAGAAATATGTAGAAGTTTATAATGTGGTGAATCAAAGAAAGTCGTGTTATATTATAATGTTGTATAATCAGGTACATTTTGTTGCTGCTTCAAATTGTAAGTGTATTTTCTAGTCTCAAGATAAAAGGATATCAAAAAACTGAAAGCATTTGGCAACTTTTGCCTGCTGCTTTGGATTTCCGTTCATGTTTTTTCTTTTATTTTCTTTTTTCAATGCATAAAAAAAATCAAGAATCTGGGCTGTCTGGGTTGTTTTTGGAGGTTAATATGTGTGGGATGGGAATGGCAATAGGAACGTTCTGTAATAAAATAGTAAAAAAAAAAAAAACTAAATGATGTCCACTTGTCAATGCTTACATCATTAAACAATCACATGAAAGGTTTTGTCAAAATATGTTTTTTTTCCCGCTTTGTTTGATGATCAACCTTTTTTCTAGTTTTAATGTATATTACTTAAAAAAGTATGAATCCAATACAGCTTCCAACTCATTTTAATTTAAAGGGTTTCTTGGTCTCCCCCCTCCCCTCCCCGCACTGTTGCTGTTTGGTTTACTGACCTAATCAATGGACTTCACCTGTTTACCCTCTCTTCCTCATTTAAACAAATTAGTTTCTTGAAAATGTTTAATTTAAGCAAATTAAAAGGGAAATTTGTTGCTTGAAACTCTAAAGTGCACCATTTTACTCCTCTATTTGAGAAATGGTATCCAGAAGAGAAACACTTGCAACAATATATTGCGTGACTGGAAAATGGACAGGGGACTGCAGGATTTCATTAGGAGCTTTAAACAGAACCTCTCTTAGATAATAAAAGATTTTTATTCTACATAATATTTTACTCTTTATTAGTGTTATGACAATAGGTGCATTCGTTCATGTCTGAACTGTTTAAAACACAAAGTTTTCATTTAATCAACCCTAAACACAGAACAACACAAGTTTTCCACCATACTGCTTCCATTATTTACTGTAACTGATTTTATCAAGCAGCCACTGAGAATCATGGGTTATCCCTGGCTTCCCATCCCCCACATGTTAATGGGACCAATATCCATTAGTTAAATCGGGGGAATTCCACAAAGTTGATTGTTTTGGCAACTTTCCCTTCAATGATCCCATATTACATTTTAAATTGTTTAGGTTCTTTTATAAAAATCAAACAGAAGAAAGAGCTGATAATGAATTGTGTTGATATAGATAGATAGACAGATACAACTTCTTTTTTTCAGTTTGGAAAATATAAGATGCAAACATGTTGGTATGATGATAAAAAAAAAAAATCCTTTCCAATTTGTACATTATTCTGGTAGAACAAAAAGCACAAAGTACTTAACCAGCATGACACCTGAGGAAAAATCAATGCCTAATTTAAGACACCACTTTTTCTTGTAGGTACATTGTCTCCGAGCTTTTGTTTCTCTTGTTCCACACAAAACAAACACACTCAAATAACACTCTCTTAAACTTATTGTTTCCTTCTTAAAAGTGTCACTATTGCTAAAAAATCAATGACTAATTTAAGGAAGCATTGTTTAATTGCTTCCACTGATGGAAAAAATGAAAACGGATGTGTAAGTAATGAAAAAAAAAAAACCCTACTTGCCTTAATTTGTCAGAGCAGGTTACAAGCCAACCCCATTACAGTCCCTTCTCTTGGACTTATTTATTGATTGTCTGTAGTGTAGGGAATTGGCCTTAACTTAAACACCTGATTGCTTCCCTGAGGATATTTAACAACATCTAATCTGACATATACACTGAAAAAGGTACACGGTTAGTGATAAGATGAATGAAAACCAAAATCTGTCATTGCTCTATTATAATTCTGTTCACAGCTGCCTTGTGAAATATAAATAGTTTAAATATATCAAAAGGAAGAAGATAAATCACTGAAATTTTGTAACAATTCTTTAAATAAGAATTATGTTTTTGGGTAGTGTTTTCTATATAAAAAAGATTTCCAAAATGTGATGTTAGTTAATGTTTTTTTTTTCAATGAGTATAAACAAGCTTTAGGACTTATTAAATATAATTATTAACAGTAACATTGTTAACTTACATGTAATCAGCTATTATCAAATATTTCAACAGTATCTACACCACTGCACAGCTCTCAGTAGGTTTTCCACAAAGTACAGTATTTTATAAAAGCCCTTAACTCATTAATATATATATATATATATATATATATATATATATATATATATATATATATATATAATTATGGTCCTCCCCCACTGTATATACACATATATATACATATATAAAAGGATTTATCTGATCTACTTTTCTTTGTATAGTTCAAAAACTGTTTTACATAGCATAATTTTGTCTTTGTGTCTTTTGCCTTTTTTTACCCTATTTTTAGCCTTGTAATGTTTTTCAATATAGCCAGTGAACCATCCAGTTGTCTTTAAAACGAAAAAAAAATTCTGAATGTAAATACATTCTGTCTCCAAATTAATAAGACTTGTAGTGTGTTTGTTTTTTTTATGATTTTTTTTTGTTAGTAAAATGATAAATCAGAAGTTTAGGTTTACAGGTGTTTACAGGTGGATCTTTCACTGTTTTCCTCAAAGGCTTGCCTGTGGTTTGACATCTGATGTTTAAATGAGCTTCACCGTTTCGGACTACACACAAATGATTGTGGTATGTATTCAAATGCCCATCATTGAAATTTAATGCAAATATCTCGGTGCTTTAAATATGTGGTTGGTTTTCCACCCAAGCCGTGTGAGCTGCTGATGGGACGACAGATCTGCAGCCCCTTTCACGTCTGTGTGGTGAACATTCTGAAGGTCACTCGCAGGATTACTTGTCTTACACCTTTTAAAGGCGCTCTGTGGCTGAGTCCGAAAATCACCATGCAAATCCTGTTATCTGGCCCCTGCTCAGGGAACCGGGGCCTCATCCTTCAACATATTTACCATTTATGGACATATGTTTTACATCCTGTGCCACCAGCCAAACCATCCCCTCCTCTGCTGCACTACCAGCTAATATTCTGTGTATCTGTAACTGTGAATTATGGTCCTCCCCCACTGTAGCAAACAGATGGCCACTCGATTCTTGAGTCATCACAAACCCATTACGAGAGTGACTTGTCCTCCGCCAGGCCGCCTTGATTCGTGCCCGATGGCTCTCGCCAGTGTTTGCTCAGGCTCCTAAGTCATCCTCTTGCTTTGTGACACACTCTGTTTGCTTGGGTTAAATGGCTTGAGTTGGCCACTGTGTTCCCTGATTGGCTGTGACACCACAGTGTTTGACAAGCAAAATGACACCAATGGCCCCTGTTGCAGCAAATGTGTTTGGCTGTTTAAAACAAGTCGCCTTTTTAAGCAGCGTGTTTACTCACCAAAGAGCCCTAAGTGTGTTTCTATCTGTGTTGCTGGGGTTTATCAGTGGCCGGCCCAGTGAGCATAAATCATTCAAAGGTAACTCAGAGGAACAACATTGGTTCCAGCAGGAAAAAGCAGGGAAATTATAAAGCTTTGATAATGGAGGCTCCTATTACTGCTGCTGCTCCAGATGGCGAGGTGAATGGTTTTTATAATCTACAAGGATCTATTTGGGGGAAATTTGACAAAATTTACCTCTGTTATGAAAATCTTTCTGACATTTATTTGTTTTTTTCATACATTTTCTAGATAAAATTCAACATTTTCATTTTCCTTCTTTATTATTACAGGGCGGAAACATTGTGCCATGCCTTATAAAGCAGGCCCAGGTCAGCTTTCTCTTAAAAAGTATTGCAGAAACTGCTGAACATTTTAACTGCCGTTAAGCCCAAAAATATTACATTTAAGGTGAGATTTAAATATTGCAGAAATGTTTCTTCCGATCGGACGTTATCTTAACATTTTGCAGAGCCTTAGCTTGGATCTGACAGAGAATCAACACGCTGTGCTAAAGTATAAAGATATGGTAGAACATCATAAAACAGATTAAAATTAAAAAGTAAGGGTTCTTCTAAATGATCTTCTTACCTTTTGAGGACTAGCTCACTCTCTATCATGAAAAAAAATAATTTACATATAAATCTTCCAGGGTTATGGAGTTTTTTAAAGATAGCAGTGCCTAATATTCTAACTCTTACTCTTTATTTTATTGATCTTATTATCAAAATAGTTTTAAAGACAGAAAATCCAACTCCATACTTTTCAACACTAAGACAGTGACAGTAATAAATAGCCTCCATGATTCAGGTTTAGAAAGCTGTGAAATTGGATATTGGGACACTTTCTGGAGTGTTGGGTTGAGAGTAGCTTCAGACTAGACTGTGGGAATCATCTAATCCGATCATGGGGAATGTTAGACGGGCTAATCGCCTAACAGGCTGTGTCTCCTCTATGGGCCGTTGGAGGCAGGGAACTGAGGCCAAGCTCTTTTTTGAATGGGTTCCTTGGGAAATCTTAGGTTACACCACTCATACTATAATACTAAAGTCTGTAATGCTTTTACATCTGAGGAATAAATATTAAAATGCAATGCACATAAATAAAAAATAACACACTTCAAAAATGTTATAATACTCTCTTTATATTACCTTGTTCAGTAGTGAGAGGTATGAAAGCACCAATTTTTACCCATTAAAGGGTGCAGACTGCCAGACATAAGACACAGCTCTGCACACAGTTTAAAATCTATAATTCGCTTAATTCAACTAAACTTGCCATGCACCTATTCTGTGGCTATTCTGTCTCTTTTGGAGTAT